TATAGCACAAAGGGTGCAATTTGGATGAATCTAATTTGAAAAAAATCTGAATTCTATATACAAAATTTTATAATTTGAATAATATAATATTAAATTAAGAATCAAGATTCTTTGTAGTGTATAATTTGTAAAACACCTTGTAGTGTCCCAAAAGAATATCATTTTGAGACAAAATTTAAATATAAAAAAACCTTAATTTGCCCATTTCTTCTTTCCCTTCTCTCGTTTTGAGGCACTACATGGTCCGTTATAGGTAATGCAATATAGAAGATCCAAATTCAAGTGGTAGTAATATGGATAAAATGGCTACGGTAGTAATGCTTTGTAAAGTAATAATTCAACTAAATTTTGTCTTTAGTAACATTTTTCTATTTTAAAAGTAACTGAAATGAATTTATTTTTTAGATTCGTCTTAACTAGACAATTCTAAAAATTAAAATCAATTTAAAAAAAAATAATTAAAAAACCAACTATTGTAATTTTTTAATATAAAAATTGACATTTAGTGAATGTTTAATATAGTGCCAAGCAATAATGATCATTCAACATTATAGATGACTATTTCAATTCAATCTATGGGTCTGTTCATACTTGTCTGAATGAGACAAATTTTACCTGTTCTGACACTTATGTAGGGCATGAGTGGATTGGATTATATTTTGGTTAAGTTCATGCAAATGAACACACTGGTTATCAACATCAATGTAAATTTTTTTTTTCCTTCCCACTAATATTCAATTACCTATGAATGGAATGAGGCTTTTGGTTATAAACTGAACACAACAGCATCATCAAATTAAATTATTTAGTCCTGCTAATACTCTAATAGCTATAAATGTATTGATGCTGCAATTAGCACCAACAAATTAGAAAATCTGGTACACGATGACAGGCAACGCCAAGAATCATAAAATATATATATATATTTGATTCTCACTCTGAACACCCCACTAAATACAAAGAAAAATATATAAATATAGACATCAATTTGATAACCAAAATTTGTTTGATATAGTGTTTTCATTTTTATAAAAATAGAATTGATTCTAAAATTTTCTAAACTTATAAAAATAAAATCAACTTTTTAGTTACTCTCCCTTCTTTACTATACGACAACCACCCGTTATTAATCACTAACCAACCAATATTCGGTGAACCTTTGACCACTCTTCGGATCTCTAGTGACACTTCATCATCATCTCCGACCCACTTCTGGCCATCCCTTTCGTTTGCCACTCTACATTGCAATCGACTACCTTCACAAAATGACCAAGTATATTGATTTATTTTTATTTTCATTTGTTTTAAAATATTTATATATACCAAACAGTTTTTTTTTCCTTTTTTTTTTAACTTAATTTTTTTACAAAATGATAAACACAAAAACATGTTTTTTTATGAAGAAACTAATATTGTTATCAAACAACCTTAGAAAAAAAAAATTACATTTTCATTTACACTATTATATAAAGCTTACAGCATTTTTGGTGTGAATTATTTTGTCACAACCTTTTTTTTATTCCTAAATTACCCTTTTTCACTAATTGTTAAATTCTATAACTGTTAAATTTAAATACACCTACAAATATCCATAATTGCAGATTTCAATAAGTGTGTCATTTTTTATGTTGAAATCATGTCAATTACATTCCACCTTACTTCCAGAATCATCTGCTAGGATCAACAACCTTTGAAATTGTATTTTTATATACAACCTTAGATTCTCAACATCTTTATTTATTATATATATAATTTTTAATTTTATACAAAAAAAATAAATAAAAAAATCATTGATTGAACCGATCAAGGGTTGAAATGTCACTCCAACGACTTAGAAACAAGACTTTATAACTTTCAAACAAAGTTAAGTAATTTCATGTGAATTGACATAAATACTCTTTGAAAGTTATACAAAGGAGAAATTGATTTGGAGGCTATTTACCAGGAACCAGTTCCACATACACAACATTTAGAATCAGAAATTTATTTAGAAAGTTTAGTCTGTTGTTGAGAGTTATAGAGGTAGATCTTACCATTCAAAGATTAAAGATTAAATCTAAACCATATATTCACTTTCTAAATAAAATTTTGAGTTTTGATGATGTGTCCTTGACTTTTTTGATTTACCAAAATTTACCACCCCACCACAACCCTTCCAAACAAACGGAATTAACCCATTGGCCCTAGGATGAGGGGGTGTTACTGTGCCTGCAGTTACTGATGCCCCTTTTGGGAGGTCTTTCTGAGTATTTTTTAATAATTTGAATCGTTATATTGTAAAATTTGTTGAGAATAGTATTTCTGTAAAAAATTAAATTAATCGGATATTTATAATCACATGATTAGATCCCAATTGTTTTTAAAAATTTATGAAAGTTATGTTAACTGTTATTTTTATAGAAACAAACGTGCTTTGGTTATAGGGTTATAGATATCCAATCAACTTGATTTTTTGTATAGATGATTTATTCAACGAACCCTACAATATGAACAGTTTAGATTATCGAAAAAACACTTGAAAAAACCTCTCCCAAGGGGCACAACAGTAACTGCAGCACCCCTCTCCGTTGGCGCTAGTCCTTATAATTACTAGCATATGAGCTATTCGTCTCTCTGTATTTATGTTTAAGTCTTTCTTTATATTTTATTATAGGAGTTTTTTTATTTATTTATTGAATTTTTCTTTCATAATTAAATATTTAATTTGATATAATTCTTAATTATTTATATTTACTTTCCACCGAACTCTGAATTGGACAAATTTTCAAAAAAAAAAAAATTGTGAAAACACAATCGTTACAAACATATAAGAAGTTAATTTTATTCATTGCAATATCTTATGCAACATTTAATTCATATTACCCAACGCTCCATTTACAACTTCAATATCATTTTCTCTAATATTTAATGATGTTCAATACACATGAATGGCATTAATATTAATTAATACGTGCGCATTGTATTAGATAGTGGATAAAATGTGATAAAAAAATAAATGATCATTGTAATATTATTTTTATAAATAATATTTGCAAACAAAACTAGTGTAACGTCTATTTGATGACTTTTTTACAAACTGTAGGTTAAAAATATTTTTCTCTCAACTTTTAGATATCAATATTTTTCTTTCTATTTAAGTTATTTTTTTCATATATAAAAAAAAAAACTAAACACAAGAACACCAATTTTTATAATAAAAATAGCTGTAAACAGCTTTTAAAAAAATACATCAAACAAGGGCATAAATACAAAGAAAAATATATAAATATAGACATCAATTAGAATTACTCTGAGTTTTATTTTTTTGAGTCTCACACTAACGTGACAAAATTATATCCAATTATATGATTAATTTTTATACAAATAAAAAATTATAAATACATAAAATAAGAACTTATGCAATCAATGATTTTATGTGACTTAGAATTTGACCATATAATCATACTTCCATCCAAAGTGTAAACATTTTTATTGAACCACACCAAATGTACTACTATCATCAATTATGTGGTATAGAATATAAGATGTTATGCCAAAAAAAAAAAAAAATGGTATACCACGTGTAAACATTCTATAATACATATAAAATATGCTTTTGACAAAGCTATACAGTACTCATGTAACATAACATATGGACTTTCTCTGAAAGAAACAGAGTATCAACCAATCAAACACAGAGGTACCATTTTCATTCTTGTAAATAACTTCCAGCATTGAGGGTATTTCACGTTCCTCAATAAACATCACTTGCCTCCTTTTGGAGAGGTGCTAAAATACACCTTCAATTTTTTATTAATTTATATATATATTTTTTATAATTATTTTCAAAAAATTGAAGAAATGCGCAAAGTGTTATTTATTTATCAAAATATTTTAAATTTACTTTTAAAATTTTTAGATTGCATAATTTTTATGTAGATGTTAAATTTTAATAAAATTTATACATTGAAATCATCTATTAAATAGATTCATGCTAACTGTGAAAATTTTAAAATAATAAAAAAAATAATAAAATTTTATTGTCTAAATTAATCATTACCATCACTAAACACCATAATAATCTCAACATTTTCGATTTCTCATATATTAAGTTTTTACAATTCTATATAAAAATTAAATATACAAAACAACAAATTAGTTTTTTTAAAAATAATTTATTTCAAAAATTATGAAATTAATTCTGCATGCTTCTAAATGTATGTTTAATATGTATATGAAAGAATTTTCAAAAATTCAAATCTATTGAGTAGATACAAAATAAAGTCTCCATACAATAATTTTTATTGCAAAATTAAATTTGAAAAGCTTTTTGCGAGTGAAATAGGAGAGATACGTTCCCTATCTTGTGTATAATTGTGAAGATTATATGACTTTGTGTGATGTTAAAAGATCATAACAAAAACATTAACAATCATAATGAGGAAAGACGGTGATGCAACCTTGGTCACGTTTACGATTCAAAGTAGATCATTCACATAAAAGTAAAATTAATTAAATATTGGTTATTATGTAATCAAATCATATTTGAAAATAAACTATTTAATTTTTGTTTTTATGCCAAATGTAATAATAACACGTGGACGTAAAAATCTAATTATTTATATGAATGATTTATCAACATACTTCACAAAATGAAAATTTCATTTCATGAAAATGGACCAAGAGTGAGCCCACCAAAATGGACAACATGCCCGGCTGTGGGAGCCCTCATCCCCATTTGTCTGATGTGGGTGGCCAATTAAGCAAATACTTTAAATGGTAAGTCCCAAGCAATTATATTAATTAATCTAGTAAAAAAAAAGTTTTTTGGGATTAACAACTAGCAAACAGCTAAGAGATTGTAAGTGTTGTTGTTGTTGTAAGAAATCCAAAAATAAATAAAATAAATAAAATCCAGGGGTGTATATATGTGTTTATTTGTGTGTATCTTTAAATCTCTGTACATATATAGTTGTACGGTTTTAGATGTAATATTTAATTTTCATTATTATCTTTACCAAAAAACCAAGGAAGGTGGAGAGAATCTAGAAATGCTCATTTCTTTTCATTTCCTGAAAAACCCAGAAGTAAATTGGAAAAGAAATCATAGAGAGAGTGAGAGAGAAGGAAGAGAGAGAGAAGTGAAGAAAATGCAGAGAATAAAAAGAGACCGGATGTTGACAAATTTTCATGTCACTGTTCTTAGAAGAAGGTCGTTTGTTTTTTTTTTTGGTGTGAAGATTTCTTATCTAGGATCTCTCTTTCTCTCTCTTAAAAAAAGAAAAACCCCTTCTTTTCTCTCTCTTAAAACTTTCACTCTTTCAGAGACTGGCCCAGCAGATCGAAATCTCCATCTTTTTTTTCTTCTAGTTGTTGACGATCTAAGCTTCTTGAAATGGTGTTACCAAAACACCCACTTTGTGTTTCTTTGTATTTATTATTAATCTTTCTTTTTTTTGTTTTTGTTTTTTGGTCTTTGGTAGTGCCAGTCTCTGACTCTGAATTTCCACGATTCTTTAGTTATTGGGCATAGGACGTACGGCTGAATTATTGAATCCACGGGGGCTTCTTGAGGAGAGGTGATTGCAGGATGTGGGTCTGAGGTAAATTTTATATACGCTTGCTGTTTAATTAGATTTACAGGTTTTTGATTTCTGGGGTTTGGTGGGTTTCTGTATTTGATAATATATTCAATTGGGTTTTATTTATTTTCTAGTGTCACTTTTTGGGTTTGTCAAATTATTGGCTTAGATTGCTTTGAACAATTGTTTTGTGCATTTTCTTTATTATCTATAGTGAGATACTTTATTATAATCTGTTAATTTGGTTTTATCGTTTATGAATTTGATGCACTTTATTGTAATCTGCTACTTTGGTTTTATTGTCGATGATTTTGATGGGTATTTGGATTTGATGAGTCATCATTTTTTGTGTGGGATCTGTTCCAAATTCCTGTTTTGAACTAGTTTAACTTATTGTCAATTCGCAAAGGAAAAGTTGCTACTTTTCTTATTTGAAGATAGGGTTCTACTAGAAATTCTTATTATGTGTTCTTATCTTTGGTATTCATATTTTTTTTTTTTTTGATAAATTGATCTTATGCAATGATAGTTACTATGTTAATTTTAAGTGTGTGGTTTCAATTGCATTTGTTAAAAAGGAAGGTCTTATTGCTCAATTGAATGTTGAATTTCTGACAGTTTGTTTGGTGACAACAGTGATTCAAGTTCCGTTTTTTATCCTAGTTTTGAGGGAAATTTTCCACTTACAAGCTGCTAATGCTTGTTGAAGTGCATTACTTCCAAATCCAAAAGTCTTTTAGTTAATTTTTTCAGCTTTTTATAATTTGTTTAGGCATTAGAAGATAGTTTGTTGCCAATATATGGGGATCTAGAGCAAATAGTTGTGTTCTCTAGCTGTCTCTCCCACTCCACTGCTGTTGTTTACATCATATTAAACTCTTGGGACTATAATTAAGTAAATATCTTAAGTATCTCAGCAAGCTGTGTCTCTTCCTCTATTTCTTCTTCCTCTTTTACTTGGATCTAACCTAGCCGTCTTTAAGTAGACTATAGTTGTGTAAACTTTTGTGGGTCCACCTATAGGGACAATGGTGAATGCTTAGAGAGTAACTTTACTTCACGACACTAGAAAAACAAAAAGCGTCTACTGGGTACTTTGTTAGGTTATAGAAATATAGCAATGATCAAAATTTCCTAGTGATTTGGGACAACACCAGAAGCTCAAAAATGCAATACGATTAAAAATTGACATTAAATCAAGAGGACCATTACTGGATGTTCAAATTTCTAAAATGACCGATGACCTGAACTCTACAATATGTTTATTTGCTTTTCCCTTTATTTTTTTTAGCGTTGAGGATTATGGCTATCACCACTGCATTTAACCATGAAGTGAATCTTATCTCCCTAGTTGTCATTAGCATATAGTATATGATATGACAAATACCATAGGATACAAAATTGAGTAAACCTATATGTCATATGGATATGTATTGCATTTTGACTTGACTGCACAACATAAGATCAATCAAGACAACATATGATGGCACATTAACTATGTTTGGCGTTGTTGCAAATAATCAAACTGTAGACCTTTTATTTAAAGGAAAAAAAAATATTATGATACTGTTGTGAGATGAACAATTGCTCATAAAGCTTAATCTATTGGGGAATTGGCCAAAATTGTATAATAGGCTTTTACACCCTCTCTCTTGTGGAGAGATACACAAATTGAACAAATTGCAAACACATATATATTGAAGTCCATATGGATCATGAGGATAAACTTGAACCTGCCAATGTAATCATAGCATGTCTGACAATAAGTTGCCCTAAAACTTTACCCAGTAGGGAACGGGCTCTATTAGGTTATCACAGTTTAATTCTTTTGTGTGCTTATAGTATAATGCCAATATCATATGCATTAGAAGGGAGCCTAAAGATAATACCCTTATACTTTGCCATGCGAACAAACATTGCTTCATGTACATTTCATTTCTTTTTTTTAAGGTGAATATGTAAATTTCATTTCCAATTACAATTAGAAGTGTAGCTTTTGTCATGGTTTCAGAAAATCACTGATATTGTTATTTAATGCTATCGTTGAAATAGTATCTGTAGTAGGCTGATATATTAGTGTGATGAAAAATTGTTTGCATTGTCGACCATGGCACTTTCACACCAGTACTTACGGCCACTACAATATGTTATAGTGTTTGAATTTGATAGGGTTTTGTAAAAGCATTCTGAAACCTTTTTTTCACCCTAAATTTTGAGAGGGCGGGCCTTGGTGTAATGGTAAGATTGCTCCGTTGCAATTTGGGCATCACTGATTCAAACCACGGAAACAACCTTTTCACATGCAGGGATAAGACTGCATACATTTGACCCTCTTTAGACAACGATAGAGTCTCGTGCATTGGGACTAGCCTCTTTTTTCTCAAATTTTCCCCTTCTATCTTGTTCTAGAGTTAAGTTGCTATTTTTAGCTAAATTTACACTTTCTATCACCAAAATAATAAAATTTAACCTCTTAACTTCAGATTAAACACTTTTCATGAGTCTTAATATAATGTTTTCTTATTGGAGGTTGAATACTACTAACATCTAATTTGCTTCTTTGGTGAATCTTTGACATTGTTTGGTAGCATTTATTTGTGCTAATTGCAATTCTAGTTTAAAAAGGTTGGGGGAGTGAAAAGGTCAAGATTTATAATTAATTTTTATTTTAATAATTAAAGAATGACCAGCTAGTGATAAATTGAAGATATTGTTATTACTAATTAATAAGGCCTATAGAGTATTGACTAGTCTGATGACATAATCCTAACAACTAAGAAAGCAAAAGGACTCATTAAGATGATATTTCTTGATAGATGAGGACAAAGGCTTAATGCTGTGCAAATGCCATGAAAGCCAAATAAGGCTCTTTTTAAATGCTGTGTAAGATAGTGGTTTGTCTGACAAGGAGGGGGAAGTGGGAAATGAGTAGGATATTACTGGTGGAATAGTGATTTAAAAAAAAAAGGGAAAAAAAAGTAGGCAAATTAAACATGAAGTTATTGACAACAAGCATTACCAAAATCATTCTAGTGTCTGTTTCTCTACGCTTCTTGTGCTGATCTATCTGTTTCTTGAATTTCTTTCGAGATGTGATTCTCTGACACTTTTCCTGAATTTGAGATATGTAAATGGGTTTCCTGAGAAAAGTAAATGGGTCTCCAGCCTAACTCCAACTCTTCAAAAGAGTGTCTATTTCTTTCCCTCCACAAGAGCCATAATTGAGCAAACATCCAAGCTTTTCTTCTTCTTTTTCCACCCACAAACAATTTCCCAACACTACAACAAATTCCTCACTGAACTAGGCTACGCATCACCCATTGAATCGCCTAGATGGAAAGTAATGAATCCCATAATTCGTTGCCACAGGAAAATGAATAAGTGAACCACTATCTCTTTCCTAAAAGAACCCATCTCCATGCCTTCACCTTATCATATCCAATTTTCCAGACGGGCATTCAAGCCCGTAGTCTCCAAATCCCAGTCCCAAGGTGGTCTACTTAATAATCTTCTAGAGATTCTCAAAAAGAAGATGAAGAGGAAGAAGCTAGCATAGCATTTTTATTAATTGTGATGCTAAACAGAGTCAAAAAAGCTACTGAAAGAGGAACATCTCTACACCAAACTGAATCCTGCTGCCATCCCCAACCTCAATGTTGATTATTCAGTAGCTTGAATTCCATCTGGGTCCAGGCATCAGATATCTTGATCTGTGTATCGCCATTGTGATAATCTAGACACAAATATTCTGATTAAAACAATGTGATGCATGAAGACAGGTTTTTTCTTTTATTCTTTATATATGTAGTCTGTTGTCTGTTCTTGTGCTCTTCAGATTGATAACAAGAGTGTGTAGCTTCACCTATTAATCCTAAATAAGTAAATGTAACTTTGTTTCTTCTTTGATCGGCAGGAATGGGAACACAAGTGCACTGTGAAAGCTACCTACCTGGATATTACTCCATGAGGGATCTTAATTTGGATTGTAGTAGTAGTAACTGGCCCCCATTTTATGGAGACAAAACCATAGCAAATGGGCAATATTACAACAGTTTCTTACCTGGTACTGCCACAAATGCTTATCCAGGGGATGATAAGGATGTGTTAAAGAAGACAATGCTTAGGCATGAGGCCATATTCAAGCAACAGGTAATTCTAGTCTCAAGTGCCCTATGACTCTATTTTGTTCTATCTCTCATTTTGACACGACCAACTGATTTACTACTTTACTGAGTCTATTTTACTTCTACCAATGAAGGCCTTCATTTGTTGTGGGTCAAATTGAAGTCCGGTTCGCTTTTGTTAGATTTAAGTGCTCCAATTTTATGAACACTTGAATAATTTGAATTTCTTTTTGTCACCCAGGTGTTCGAACTCCACCGTCTTTACAAAATACAGAAGGACATGATGGATGACATTAAAAGAAAAGAACTACATAAGCATCTGGTACCAATGGAGACATCCTCGTCATCAAACCTGTTGGTGTCTCAAATGCCATCTGAAGAAGCTTGGAAATGGCTTCATAAACCCAACTTTCCCTTAGTGAACTCTGTTTCAGCCAGGCCATCTGTTTCTGGTACTGAAATCGTTAGTTCTCCCCTGAGTTGTACAAAAGGGAACAACACACAAGCTGGTAGATTTCCATCCCAGAATGGATGTAGTTCAAAGGATTTTGTGATATTGGAGTCTAGACCCTCAAAGGTTAGGAAAAGGTTGTTTGATCTTCAACTCCCAGCTGATGAATATATTGATACAGAAGATGAGGAGCAGTCCCCGAACAATAAGATATCTGATGCTTCAAGTTATCCTTCGAGTATAATAAATCGTAAGCTTGCTTCTGAGAGCAGTGTAAAGTTGAATATTGGAGGTGGTGCAAAGATTGACTGTAATGGCGATGCTTCAAGATCCGCTTCCTGTTTGAGGAACTCTGTTGGATTGGCTGATTTGAATGAACCCATACAGGTTGAAGAAGCAGAGATTAAAGACTTGGATTTAGCTGCTAAACCAAAGTCACAGTTTCTTCTAGGTTTACCCAAGGAGAATTTTCAGAACTCCCAACATGGAAGCAATAATGGGACTTCCACTAATCTACAAGTTGAGAGTAAAGGAATTAGAAGAGAGTGGTTATCCCATATGAATGAAACAGGTGAGTTTTTTTCTTGAACTTGCTGAATATTTTGTTAAGTTGGTCTTTCATTAAGTCAGCAATGTCCACCATTATTGTTCAATAAGGTGAAAAGTTTGATTCTAAAGATCAAATATGAAGAAATATTGACTATCTAAAGATTTAGAGAAGTAGTTGGGATTTGTGAGATATTTATATTCTAAGTTGTAATTGATTCTGGCAAGAGTAATATCTTGGGCTCTATCAAGTACATTTCTAGGGCAAACCATCTATGTCTGTCTTGATACTTTTAAGCTATGTTTGGATCTTTGGATTTTCCTAGGGAAAGGAAAATGCAAGGCAAATTAAACTACTTGTACATGCTTATTTTTTATGGATAGCCAAACCGAAAATGTCTCTTTTTTTGGCAGATACACATTCATTTTCTCCTCATTTTCCTAACCCCACAATTAAATAAATAAATTTAGCTTCTTTTATTTCATTTTTTTTTTTTCTTTCCGCCCCCTCGGCAAATCCAACCTCCAAACATATACTTCATGATTATTCAGAATTTGTGGAACCAATAACTTGCTGGGAATTGTTTGTTGCAAACTAAAAACTGTAGCTATTATGTCCATACGCCTCTCTCTCTCTCTCTCACTCTCAATGCTGACTGCTGATGATATTGTGTGAACTCTTTCTTTGTGTACAGGACACAGTAAAATTCATTTTCAGCCTTTCCCTCAAGGTCTCCAACCAGATAAGTCACACATGTCTTCCCAGCGGACGCATACTACCCCTGACAAAGTTCATCACCCTTCAGAGATTCTTACATCTGATCGTAGCAGGGAAGATCTGTGGAGAGATAGAACAGTTCATGGTTTAGAATTCTCTGAAAGAAGTCGTGATCTCACTAGTTTTAACCATTTGGAACAGGTGGTGCCTTCCCATGTACCCATTCCCTACCCATTGGTTCATGCCTCTGATTTGGACAATACTTGGTCCCACTCTGTCTCATCTTGGGGAAAGCCAAGTAGTAGCTTGACCCAGAAATTGACATCAATTCAAACACACCTGCCTTTAAATTCATCGGTTACCTTAAGTAGTATTTCTCAATCATCTAGCCATGATATAGACAAGTGGCATCTTAATAGTGGTTCTGGGTCAAAGCCTGGTTCGGCAAGTGGTCTACCTAACCGTAATGGGTTTTACCATGGGTCGTCATCAGGGTCCAAGGACGTACCAACTCGTTTCCCTTCAGCTGGATTTGATTATTTGAACTGCAATAAGGATGATAAGGTAGCCTCTGAACGCTCAATTAATTTTGGTCCCGGAAGCTACTTAAAGGGCTCAAATGTTATAGATATGAAGCTAGTAAAAGACTTTAATTCGAATGCCATCCTTTCAAAATCTTCATCCAATGAGGTTATTCCCCAACAAGTCCTAGAGATCATAGATGAAGAAAGGAAGTGTGAGGACCATCTGGAAGTTCTGCCTTGGCTTAAAGGTAAGCCTGCCAGTAAGAATGAGGGCATCAGTACAAGGAGGGATTCAAATTCCTCACAAATGAGTTTCTTACATGCTGCTTCTAACCAACTGTCCAACAAAAGTGACATTGTGCAAGGTCCCAATCAACTTTTTACCCAGAAAATTACATTAGCTTCATGTGATCATGAGATTGGGGCCAAGAGGAACGAGGTTGGTGACTGCCAGGTTACGAGAAAGATCCTTGGGTTTCCCATTTTTGGCAATGCTTGTACTCCTAAGAAAGAGTCTTCTTCTCTTGTCTCCACCTCTGCGTCCCTTCGATGCCCTCCTCAAGGTGAAGACATCTCAAATGTAGGCAAACATAGAGTAATTGATATAAACTTGGCTTGTGATCCCGAGTCTGGCGCACAGATTGCTGCAGAAGTACTTATTGTAGAGAAGAGAAGGGATAATGAAGTTGCTAATTTCAGAAACTTTGATTTGAACTCTTGTGTGAGCGAGGATGAAGTTACATTAGCACCCTCTGTTGCAAGCACCAGTGTCAATGTGAAGATTGCAGTGGAGATTGATCTTGAAGTCCCTGCTGTTCCAGAGACCGAGGAAGACATTTTACCCGTGGAAGATCAAAAGAAGCCTGAGATGTCTGTGACATCACCACAGCACAAAGCTGAGCAGCCTCAAGATGAAGCAGCTTTCAGGATTGCAGCTGAGGCAATAGTTGCCATCTCAACCTCCAGTCATCTCAATCATGTGGAGGGGACCGCTTGCAACCCATGTGAAGCTCCATCGGCAGATTCCCTCATGTGGTTTGTGGAGGTAGTTTCTTCTTATGTGGAAGGTGATTGCAAATCAAGAGGCCAAAATGGTGGAGACAACGAAGTATCTTCCTCTGAAGAGATTGATTACTTTGAGGCCATGACATTGATGCTGAGGGAGATCACAGAAGAAGAGTATATGCCTGAGCCCCTTGTTCCTGAAAACCAGAAAGTGGAAGAAACAGGAACCGTTCAATTACCAAATCGACCCCGAAGGGGTCAGGCAAGGAGGGGGAGGCAGCGAAGGGACTTTCAAAGGGACATTCTTCCAGGCCTAGCGTCTTTGTCAAGGCATGAGGTAATTGAGGATCTTCAGACATTTGGAGGGTTGATGAGAGCAACAGGTCACCCTTGGCAGTCGGGATTGACTAGAAGGAATGGCACCAGAACTGGTGGGGCCAGGGGAAGGCGGCGTTCAGTGGTGCTCCCCGCCCCTGCTGAGACAGCAAGCACCATTTGCATGCCCCTAATGGAGCAGCTTAATAATATTGTCGGATTGGAGGATAAAGCCTTAACAGGGTGGGGAAAGACACCTCGACGGCCCCGCCGCCAGAGATGCCATGCAGGTAATCCTACCTTGATCACTTTAACCTAATTATGGGATATGAGGATTGATTTTTAGACTGAGCACTTCATATATAGGGAAGTAGAGAGCTGTTTTCATGGCTTTTGAAGTGAGTTTGTTGTTAGTTTGAAGGGGATTTGCCTTTGTACATGTCTTCTTAGCCCATAATTTGGGCTTCCCCTTGATTTTCTGTTTGTGGGTAATCAACCAACCTTTGTACTATTTCCAAATAATGTTGCGTTATTTCTTCTGGGATATATATGTATACAACATTGCTTCGGATGCATGTTCACTACTCTGCTTTTGGGTATTGTTCTTTGGTCTCAATGAGCTATTTCCATGTAATCTCAAAGTACAAGTATATGTCTTTTGGTTAGATTAGTTCATTAGTTTTGGAGCATAGTCTTGTCTAGAGATATATATGAATGCTAGTATAGGTTGTTTTGAGTCTTCTCCAAAGCGCCTTTAAACCATGTTAGGCTTGAGTTTGCCCTAGAAAATGAAAGAAAAGAACTGGATAAGGAACACCTACTTAGGGGCGGGATGGGTTTTTCTCAGCTGATCGTGTGATGGAGAGGAGACTTGAGATGGGACGGGATATCCAGCAGTAAATATTGCTGTGCTGTGGTAAATGAAGTCTGTTAGAGCTATAAGTTGATTCTATTTTTTACCCTTCAAATTACTCACTTATTAATGGTTAGGATTTCATCTTATTCAAATTTGATGGCCCACATCTAAAAGTGTAATAAATGAATCTTTTGTCATCTGTACTGTTTGTTAAGATTCCATGTGAGACTTATCCAAATGAATGGTAAGGATCCAAATGAATGTTCAATAATTTCTCAATGGTCGGTTGGTGGCTATGCTCACACGTTCAACTCAGTTTTGATTTTTGTTAGCTCCTGTTTGCATGAATTATGCGATTAGAGGAGTGTCATTTGATTATCGAGTTTTGTTTAGGCTCTTACTGTGGGCTTAGGACTTGGTTCCCAATTATTTTAAAAAAGAAAAAGATTAATTACATTTTTATCTCCAATCTCGTGAGATAAGATCCCATCCTTCCTTGGGAGAATTCATAGTGTCCTGCCATTTTTCACAATCAAATATGATTTTTGTATAGTTCACATGTTATTAATTCAAATTTCCTTCTCAAACTGACTGACTGTCAAAATGACTTTAATTTTTAGCTCCAGTACCAACCAAAAAACATCTACCTAGCTGCGATGGAAATTTGATGCAACTCTTTTTAAGTTAAAAGTTGATTTAATAACAAAAGTTAAAGTCACCATTTCCCCATTTTAAATGATTAATTTATTAAATTTATTTAAGCTAATTATAATTCATAAACTATAAATAAAAATTATACTAAACATATACTGACACAAACTCTCATAACAAATAAATAAATAAATTATAAACAACTCATTGTCCTGCCCCAAACAAACACCAATACAAAAAAGTATTCCACCTCCATTGACATATAACTGGCAATACATTGGAGCACCCAATAACCTCCTGTTCAATGATACAATTGGAGGAGAGACTATTAAGTCAACAATGATATAAATAGAAAATAATGTTACATTTACCTTTTTATTATATTTTATTAATTAATTAACGTGACATATTTATAATAACTAAAGATTTATATGATTTATATGAAAGTCTTTGTACTAATAAATATGACAAATTATTGATTGGATCTGACAAGTATTGTTTCCGTTTTTTTTAATTATTTTTTTAGAATAAAGTTGTTACTAAAAAACTGGTGAGGGTGGTGCGGTCGGGTGGGGTGGGGTTGGAGGTGATGGTGATAATGGAGGATAAGGTGATCCACATTTAAACGGGATTGCATGGACACCAACTTAAATTTAATTTTAATTGAGTTTGTTTGTAAGATGTAATTTATTTAAATTTAGACACATTTAAATGAGTTTTAAATAGATATAATCAGATGGGTTGGAGTTGATAAATATATTGAAATAAGAGAAATATTAGAAACACACAAATTAAACTTTTTAATTTGTTCACAATGATATGGTAAGAGAGTTGATCTCTATATAATTGAGTGTGAGACAAATTAAACCTTGACATTTATTAGATTACATCGTCATTATAAGAAATTATTTTGCATGAAATTAAAAAATTTGAAAAAAAAAAAACTCAGAGTTTGACCATTACAACAAAATAAATTATGAGTGTGTTCGATTGGACGGACTGGATAAAGGGGGGATCAGAATCCGTCGGACTTGAATTAGGAGACTATGAATCTCTCGGACTATTTCGTTGGATTGGATATGTATCTCGTGTTTGTTTTCTCATGGAATTAGATGTCTGAAAATTACTATTTTTAGTGAATTCAATGTTTGCTTGGACGGATTGTATAAGATAAATGAGCAAAAGACTATTTTACTCTTTTTCAATTGTTTACTAAGTAATAGCAATGTTAAACATATTTTTAATATTTTAATTATTTTTAGCTAGATTAAATAAAAATTTATTTATTTTATTTTTTACACAATTAAATAAATTTATTTTTTTAAATTAAATAAATAAAATATCAATAAAAATTTTAAATAAATTTATTTTAAAAAATAATAATAATTAAATAAGGAAATTAATAAAACATCTATTAAAATTTAAATAATGAAATTAAATAAAATATAAACAAAATTTTAAAATAAAACATCAATAAAATATTTATAAAAAAAATATTTTCAAAAATTAAATAAATAAAACATCAATAAAAATAAAATAATTTTATTTTTAAGTGAAACATTTAAATTTATTGAATTTTACTAAATATAATACATAATTAAATAGTAAATGGTCAAAATGGTCAATTTCATTACTTAATCCTAACAGTAAATAATCCCATGAAAATAATCACACTCTCCCCAAGATACAATAGTCCCTCATATGAGGGATATGGAGTTCGACCGGACTCCATGTCCAGCGGACTAAAAAAAAAAAAACCTTTAATGTATATTGTTTTTTTTTTTTTGGGGGGGAGGACAATTACAAAAGATATTTCAAGATTTGAGTCTTTTACGAAATATAAACATGAGCTTTCAATTTTATCAATTTAAATATTAATCTTTTGATTTGTTTTTAATTTAAACCATTTATCTATTTTCATTAAGTAAAATCGATAAAAAAAAAAAATCTTTAAAATTAACAAAAAAAATATTTTAATATACACTTACATTGAATTTAATGATTAAAATATTATTTTTTTATTGATTTTATCTAATAAAAATAGACAAATAATTTAGATTGAAAATAATATAAAATATTAGAATTTAAATTAATAAAATTAAAATATAATATTTATTTTAGGAAAAATTGATCTAGGGTCCCTCTTCTACTTTTCGTAACGGAAGAGATCCACAAAATTATTTTTTGATGTCTAAGGTCCCTACAGATAAATTTGATATTCCTCATCCTTCAAACCTCCATCAACCAATTCGATGATTTGTCTCTCCATTCTACCTATCAAAAACACTCTGCACTTTTTAGAGAGAGAATCTAGAGAGAGAGAGAGAGCGCCATAGTTGCATTGCAGAGCTGTTGAACAGACATGGAGGGTGTTGGTATGTCTTTGAACGCACTGGTTGGTGTACCGATGTCGAATTCAAGAAGAGCACATGAAAAAGCCCTAATCAAGCACTCTTTGGTCTCTTCTCGGACGATTCAAAATCCTTGTTTTCAGCATCATCATCGGCAACGATTTTGGGTGGTTCGAGAAGTTTCTGATGTCGGAGGCGTTGAGGAGGCCTGGGTATTAACTAGGAAGAGTTGTTAGGAGGTCTACGGAATGAGAGAGAGTGAAGGCGAGTCCATGGTCGCCGAATTTTGGGTATTCGGGGACGATGACGAAGGCGAAAGAGGTAGAGAAAGAAAAAGCAGAGCCATTGGAGGAGTTCTTGAAGTGAAATGGAGAGGTGTGAAAAGCATGACCCATTTTTTTACTGGTCTCGTTGGTTAATCGAAGAATGCCATTTTTTTGAAACTCGAATATTCCGGAGAGAGTGATGTTTGTGTTGAGTTCATTGAATCCGGAGTAGAAGAGCTCGTCGAGCTGGGACGAAGATGGGATTGACAGGAAGAAGACAGAGGCCGATGCATAACCATCTCAGCAAATATATAGCCTATAGACCACACGCCAACAGGAGCGAAGTGCACTGAGGAGCCAAGGAGGATTTCGGGTGGTCTATGCCATAGAGTTACTACTTGAAGAAAAATACCTACATTCATGCACAGAATTGAAACTTCAAAATCAAATTTACAGTCTCTAGGTAAAAGAAAACTGAATTTTCTCTGGGTTAAAACCAGAGAAATTCTCTAGTTTTTTCACTGAATTTTCTCTGGGTTGGTTAAGAAAAATTATCTGGATTAAATTGAATTTTTTCTGGGTTTGGACCAAATAATTTCACTGGATTGAATTTTCTCTGTTCAAATTTTCTTTGGATTGAATTTTCTCTATTCGAATTTTTTCTGGTCGAATTTTCTCTAGATCGATGTTGAGGGACTTTAGACATTATAAAAATATTGAATGTTCTTTATGCTATAACATCATAATATCAGGGACTTTAAAAAAAAACCCTTTATTTTATTAAAAGATCTAACTTTATTTATTTTTATAATTTTTTCAAAAATAAAAAATAAAAACAAAAAAAAGGGAGCATAAGTGCAAAGGTGGGCTCGAAGAAAAGGACGAGCAACAAGGATAAGATGTGTGTGTGCTTTTTTATTGCTAGTCGAAGGAAAAGTGGAGGAGGTGGCAGTCTGTGATTGGACAGATGAGTATCTATTGACCCCCCCAATATTTGGATTGTACTCATCAAATATAGTAATATAATATTACTAGTATATTTTTATATAAACCGACAACAAACGCTTTGTGAGGCGTACAGTACAAGTCATGGATGCTTCTTTTCTCTCTCCAACGATTGCACCCACCAACTGCTGACCTCACGCGCGTCTTAGATTCTCTCTCTGCCGTACATCCGCATCATTTTAGATCTTGTGTCACCAGTTTTATTTAGATTATTTGTAATATATTTTATTTATTTATTTATTGGTAAAAAGATAGATCGATTTAATAATTATAATTTATCATATTAAATATAAATTTTATGTTTTAAAAAAAAATACATTTGTATACCATTTTCTTAAAAACAAATATCATAAATTCAATAAATTATAATTATCGAATTAAATTAATTTTTTATGATAATATACATGAAGATGGCTATATAAAATAAATGATTTGAATTATTAGAACATGATTCGTAATGAGTCCTACTCAACCTGAAAAGCTTCAA